TTGCAGGGTTTTCTGTTTTTTTCAGACCCAATTTCGAAACAATTCCTCAAGTTTTTATTTAAGCTACACCCTCCAGCACCCCCCTCTTTCCCAGTGGAGTATTTCATTGGGGCTCGCTGCGTTAATGTTTAAGCTCTATGAGTCGCTTGCCACGTGTGCCTTGTACTCCCCGTCCTATCAGGTAGTCTTCTGGCCATCACCGCAGGGCTCTGCAGTCTTCCCCACCCCTTACCAGGTTTCATCCAGAGGTGGTTCCTTGCCCTAGTCTGGACTTCCAACGGTTTTGTTCACCTTCCATATTTCCCCCCAGAACACAGGTCTGCTGGTGTTTTTCCTCTCTCCCACACTGGACAAGGAACGGACCCTACACATTATTCATAGGTTACGGTTTTCTTATTTAGACCGTACTGCATCCCTGCAGGAGGAGGACAACCTGCCGGTCTACTTTGCTGGCCCCCACAAGGGCGGGGAAGCCTCCGCCCAAACCATCTACTGCTGGCCTGCCAAAGCCATCCAGTCGGCGTGCTCTTCCTCCAAGGTCAATCTCCCACGCCATCTCAGGCCTCGCTCTTCCAGATCCCAGTCTTCCTCTGCAGCCTTTTTCGGCATTGGGATGCAGCTGTGGGGAAAGCGGTTCTTCAGTCCTTATTTTGCTGAGGATCCCGCTCCCACCTCCTACCAGAAAGCCAGCTTGCTATTCTCCCACGTGGGACGGCACAGAAGCCACAAAGATGACAACAAGGGTGCACTTACCTGTAACTGTTGCTCATCAAATGGTCTTCTGTGCAGGCACACATCCCTCCCTCCTGCCCCCACACTGGGACCCTCGCGCTCTTGAGGTCCTTCCATGGCAGTCAGAAGGGACTGAGGAAAGGAACGCTTGCCCCACCCAGTCACACAGTGGCTGGGCAGGCAGGAGTCAGCCCGTGAGGAGTGGGCAGAGTGCTCTGAAAATTCTTTTGTTGTCCAGCCGCACAGTCGAGTCCGACTCTTTGCAACCCTGTGGGCCACATCACGCCAGGCCCTCCTGTCTTCTGTCGTCCTCCGGAGTTTGCTTAAAAAGAGATCCTGCATTGAGCGGGGGTTGGACCAGATGACTCTGTGATTCCAACTGTCCCTGAGCAGGGCCAGGGCCTTTTTGACTCTGGCCCCAACCTAGTGGAGCGCTCTGTCTAGTGAGACGAGGGTCCTGCAGGACTTAACTCATTTCTGGAGGGCCTGTAAGACCGAGATGTTCCACTGAGCATATGGTTAAGACAGTGATGGGTATATAAGAGATCAGCTGGCCTCCCTCTCGCTCAGTTTTCCCCTCCCCCTCCCGTTTGCTCTGTTTTTATCACGTTCCTTCCCTGACCGCACCCTCCTTTCCTCCTTCCTTGCCCTTTTTTAGGGCTCCCCCCCCCCTACATTCACTGTGGGCTGCAAATTTTCTGCGTTGACTGCCTTCTTGGTTGACCACTTGTGACGGATTGTTGGGGTACCATCTGATATAGCAGACTGACAGTTAAGTTTTTAACTGTAATATTTGGTTTTTTGGAAGCCACCCTGAGCCCTGCGTGCAGTGAGAGGAGCAGGACAGAAGCTGAATGAATGAACGAATGAGTGTGGGGCCCCGCGTGCGCCTGCACAGAAGATCTCTTAGTGAACAACAGTGACAGGTAAGTGCAACCTTGTTTTCAGTCATTAAGATATGGAAGAACTTGCTGGACTCAGCCAGTCTCCAAGAGCTGGATCATTAGTTTAGATCAAATTATCTCGAAGGAGGCTCCAAGGTCAACTTAATCTGTTTCAGGATGGGCTTGGCATGACTGCCCTCATTCCTTTATGCCCTTAGCATGACTTCCTCCCAGTGAAATACTAGTTTAATACAGACTCCATCTAGGCCCAGTGCTGAGACGGACACGTGTACAAAATGGGGATCAAACGTCACTGAAGCCAGGGCCCCCGTGGGGTGAGGGTCCCTGGAGCACCAAAAGTCAGTGGGAATGATGCTCCGGAGGCCCAGCCTGCCTCATGCATCTGGGAATGATGATCCGGAGGCCCAGCCGCTGATCACGGGAGCTGCACCAGGGACACACACACACACACACCTGCATTCGAGTTCTGGAAGCCGGACCCGGGCTGACAGCATTCAGGACAAAGCCACTGTTTTCAGATATCAAGGGAGTTAAAAAAGCTGGTGCTGAAATGTGACAACAACAAAGGCCACATCAGCAAAATATGACTGATCCATTGACAGAAAGGCTACTCTGAGCTCTGAGGGTTAGACAGTAAGTCTAAAAGATGTCAGCTTAGATTAGACATAAGAGAAATGTTCCTGTGTCAGCACATTAGTAACCGAAACGACTCACACATTTCCCTTTTCTCTCTGTTGCCATTCTGTTCCACTCCCACATGATGACTTCACTCTCTTGCACTTCTTGCAAAGGACAACGGTTGCTCTTCTCCGAGCCTAAACCTGTGCCCAGCTTTTTAATCTCACTGACATATGAGTCCCATGGAAATGTGTGTTCCTCCTTCAATGCCTTGTATTCTATTGGAAAAAAACTTGCTAGTTAGCCTAGCTTGCCACCCGCGGCAAGCAGTAATTGGACTGGATCAAACCAGGAGGAGGAGGAGATTGGATTTATACCCCATGGTTTCTATTGGAAACAATTTGCTAGTTAGCCTAGCTTGCCACCTAGCTTGCTGAGAGAGCTCTTCCAAGGACTGCCCTTGAGAGAACAGCTCTGAGAGAACTCGTGACTGGCCCAAGGTCACGTGGAGGAGTGGGGGAATCAAACCCGGCTCTCCCAGATTAGAGTCCGCGCTCTTAACCACGACACCAGACTGGCTCTCCATTGGTAAAAAAGGTCCCTATGATGAGGGTCCTATAAATTGCCTGGAGAAAAAGCCGCACAGGACAGGGGACGTCATGAAAGGGGGAATTAGGTGAAATGGTGTGAAAAAGCGGGCTGAACCCAACCCATTACGGTGCATACTTGGTGTATTTTTATCCCACTCTTCCCCCAAGGAACTCAGAGCAGTGTACATGACCTCTCCTCCTCCATTTCATCCTCACAACAACCCTGTGAGGTAGGTTAGGTCGAGAGAGGGTGACTGGCCCAAGACTACCCAGCAAGCAGGACAGGGGTTCTCCCAGATCCTGGTCTAACCCCAGCCGTATGACAGGAACCCGCGGGGAGGACGGCCCGGAGCCTCCGTGGGCCAGCAGGCAAAGGGTCCGTCCCAGTGTCGATCTGCCTGCCCATTTGTGGCAGGTGCGATTTAGAAGATAAAACCAGGACTCTCAAAACTGGCCACCAGCTTCAGAATGATCATAGGAGTTCCAGGGCCGAAAAGGGAAGGAAGTGGAATATCCTGGCCTATCTCAATACACCCACACACACCCCCACACACCCCCATGCTATCTGCAAGGGAAGCAAAAAGGGAACAGTGGGCAAATTGTTGGACTAGGATTGGGGACACCCAGGTTCAACCCCCCCCCCATGGAAGCCTGCCGGGTGACCTTGGGCCCCTCACCCACTCTCGTGCTTAAATTTTTGAGGTTCACAGCTGGACTCAAAGAAAATCTGTTATGAAGGTATTTGACCTCTTACCCCAAGTATGAATCAAGGGAGAACAGATTTTCTTTCTACCTGGAGCAACAGTCAGGCAGTGGAGTCTTAGAAGCCATTACATTCTCAGTCCTGCGCAGGAAGCCCCCCACCCCACCCCAGGAGGCTCCTACGCTTCAGGACGAGCCAGGTCAGAACGAAGCACCAAGAACGAGGCATTGGTGCTGGGTACAACGACCAACTTGCTGTTGCATGCTCAGCATTTGATGAGGAGCCCCTCATATGATTGACATCAGGGGTCATTTTGTAGAAAAAGAGGTGCCAGAGCTCACTAGCATAACTCATTAGCATAACTTATCTGCATATGCCACTCCCCCTGGCATCACCGGAAGTGTGTCAGAAGGCAACGCCCACCACTCAAGCTCCACTGGACTGTTTTGGATTGCTAGCTATTGGGGGGGGGAGGGAGGAATGTGCAGACCTGTCCTGGCAGAGGAGAGAGAGCTTGTACCTGAATAAAACTTGGCCTTAAAGGTGCCACTGGACTGTTTTGGATTGTTAGCTATGGGGGGGGGGACCACGGATCTGCCCTCACAGAGGAGGGAGAGCCTGTACCTCAAGGCAGGCTGGGGGGGGGGGGGCTCTGCAGCTTACCTGACTGCTTCTTGCTCTGCCTGAGGGCTGCTGGGAGCTGGGGGCGGGGCTTGTTGCATGTGCCCGCCCCCTGGGCTCCTTACTGCCGGAACTCCGCTCCTGTGCGCTCCCGCAGGAAATGACCCCTGACATCTTTAAAATGGGGCTCTTGGCTGAAATGTACACGAGGTGCACGCTAGTCTGGTGTTTTGCCTCCTACAAGAGCCAGCCCCATGCTCCCAACACACCTCTGCTGAAACAGCCGTATACTTATATCTTGGGCAGATGTTCTGAAGGTGAAGACACTCCATCGCCACGCCATGCCTTTGGGCAGCTGAAGACCGAGAGAACGTGGTGAGCAAGGAAATCCATTAGACAACCTCTTTTCTCCTGTGCAGCCTGAAATCAAACTGCTGCCTCTTGGCCATAAAGGACCAGATCACACATGCTCCATAGATCAGGAAATCAGTCCAATAGCCACTGATCATCCAGCATAATTACACGTGAGGTTCAAAGTCGTGAAAAAGACTTTGAAGATCATCTGATGGTTCGCGTCATCCCCATTCAGATGGTGAGGCAGAAGCCAGGGGCCGATGACTCATGGGTACAATAAAAGTGTGAATGAAAATTAAGCTGAAGACGTGGGAAAATAGACGAAGTACATCAAAAATGCAAGCTTCCACTTTTAGGGAAAGCTAAGCCGAGGGAGAGGAAATGCCTCTACTTTGTCCCGCTCCCAGAGGCAAAGCCCAAGCCAAGCCGAGGGACAGGAGAGCACACAGCAAACATGCCTTGCTATTGAAACGGCTTTAATAAATAAATAAGAGTTGTCAGACAGAGCTTTCAGAACAGGAATGCATTACTTTAAGTCGTTAAAAACTGATTTACAGATAAATCAAGCCAGCGGGCGCTGGTACGGCCAAAGGTCCTTGTTCAAAGACTGTGCCTGTCAATGCTGAAGATCTTCACGGCATGGTCCGCCCCACAGGTCGCCAGCTGAAGCCACCGGCTGTCCTCGGGGCTGTCGTGGCCAGCTCTGCCCACCCGTCTCCTCCAACTCAGCCGCTTGACAGCAGGGGAGTGGCTTTGGCTACGACAGAGAGAGAGAGAGGCCGTTAGGGGAGGGGTGACCCCGCCATCTGGTGGCGAAATGTCACACTACTCAGCTGGACTCGGAGGATTGAGAACGTCCTTGTGGCTCTAATTGGTGTGCTCTTTTGCAAGGCGGCCAGCTGGGATGAACCAAAGCGGCTCATACCTGTAGGTATGAACCTTGCCACAGAAGCCCACCACACCACGACATCTCATCACCCCGTCCCACGAACGTTTAGAAGGGCAATCCGATGCACTGTCCTCATTGCTTCTCATCTTGAATCAGACACACACACACACACACACACACACACACACACGGTCCATCAAGGTCCCTACTCGGGGGGGGGGGCAGCCACTCTCCAGGGCCTGGGGTGTGTGTGTGTGTGTGGTCTTGCACATCACCTTCTGCCTCGTCCTTTTTAACTGAATTTGGGACCTTCTGCATACAAAGCAAAAGCTCTTCTGCATGGAAAGCAGGGGTTCTTCCACAGCTAACCAAAAACCTTCAAAGAATTCTTCCGTTCCAAGCCAAAGGCCCCGCGAGCGGGTGACCCCACTGGCCCACGGGGCTCCGTGTTCCAACCCTTCCTGTGCGGACTCCCTGCTCCGTTCCCTGGGCTTCAGCATCCTGCCGCCTGCGTCTTGTCTCGGCAAGCACAGTTTTAGTTTGGAGACAGTCGATGGGACCCAAGCAGGGATGCTTTCTCCCAGCATAAGGAGCCTTCCTTTTTAAATATATATATACATATACATACAAGTGGGGACCCACAACAAAACGTTGTGTCGTGTGTTACTGTTTGTTTATAAAAAATAAAATGCAATCACACCTTAAAACAAAGGACAACCCTTGACGCAACTCTACCCCCCCGATAATCTATCCTTCTGTTTCCCCCCCTTTCTCCCATTCCCTTTATCGGGCAACCTAACCCCACTTCACTCTTTTCTATCATTTCCCTTAGCTGTCAGACTACCCCCATCTCCCCCCCACACCTTTTCTCCATTAGTCTACACAGCCCTTGCTGCTATCCCCACCTACCACCCACCCCTGGCACTTCACTCACCCCTCTTTCACCCCCCCCCCCCGGCATTCCACTCACTCTCCACCATTGCTGGTCCCCCCACCCTTGGCACACACACCCCTCACCGTAGCATTCACTCACCCCCACCCTGGCTCTCTTCCCAGCTGCTCCCACCCTTGGTACTACATCACACGCACACACACACACACACCCTTGTTGCTCTCCCCACCTGCCTTCCCGCAGGCCGTCCTTTACTCTGCTGGCTGGCTGGGGGGAAGGGGGGGCAAAGGAAGCCACAGGAGGGGATGCTCGCAGGTGTTTCTTTCCCCATCACTGCTAATCTCCCACATGGCTCAGTGGGGGGCGAGAGACTTGCACACAGGGATCCTATATCCCCCCCAAGTCCAAGGCCAGGTGTGGCGAGGGGTGGCTGCTTGCACTCTCCACCGCTGGTGTGGGCACCGACATCCTCCGCCTCTAACAGCCAAGAGCAGTGTGTGGGCAGGATGGGCCTGCCTGGTAGGTACGGGGGGGTGGGGGGTGGGAGAGGCTGGCAGGTGGGCGCAGAGAAGTTGGGGTGGCTGCTTGCACTCTCCACCGCTGGTGTGGGCACCGACATCCTCCGCCTCTAACAGCCAAGAGCAGTGTGTGGGCAGGATGGGCCTGCCTGGTAGGTACGGGGGGGTGGGGGTGGGAGAGGCTGACAGGTGGGCGCTGAGAAGTGTGGGGAGCTGGGGGGGGGGGTCCTAAGGAGCCCTCTTGGGGCTTCGGGCCGCACCTCAGCAAGCCCATTCTCTGCGCATGCGCAGACCAAGCCGTTTTACTTTTGGGAGGATTTAAGTATCCCCCATGTAGTTCTAGAAAGATGCAATAATTTACTGCACACCCAGGGAGTACCTCAAGTGTGCAGAAAAGTCTCTTTTCCCTCCATGTGCTCCCGATCTCTGGAAATAAGTATCTGCACACAGGAGCACAGTTGGGAATTATATATATACAAGAAGCAGGACCCGCGATACTCGCTGGGGGGTATTCCTAAAGGCTCCCATTCTGCAGAAGCAGCTCCGCAGGTAAACCTTCTCCCCCCCCCCGGCCCACTGATTCCCCCCCATACACCCGACACACAGGAGCACAGTTGGGAATTATATATATACAAGAAGCAGGACCCGCGATACTCGCTGGGGGGTATTCCTAAAGGCTCCCATTCTGCAGAAGCAGCTCCGCAG